AAAAAAAAGTAATTTTTTATATATCTTGTCACGAGGAACATGATCATCTAAAAATTTTGTAAAAATTGAGATTTACATGATATGTTAGATGTTAGTTAGTTATTTAAGTATAAAGGGATATAATGGTAATTTACATATTTAAATACAAGACATGTTAGTCTTTATAGTTTTTTATGAGGGTAAAATAGTGAATCAAAATCTTTTCATATAAGGTACTTTTATTAGTAGTATAGATTTGAATTTGTGTTTAGATAGTATTTTGCAGATTGAGATTGGTAGGGATAGGTTGATAGAGTTTTAGTAGGAAGTAGTTCATTTTGGTAGGACACTTGGTCTATAAAAAAGGATGTATTCTATATCATTCTAATCAGAGTGGAATCTTAATTTGAGAATTCTCTGTGGAGAAATTGTGTTTTTTGGCCTAATTCTTGTGAGGATTTAGTAATACCTTTTCTCCCCCCTTCCCTCTCAGCGTCGCCTATTCTGTTTGAACCCATTACCCCATGGATGAGACACTCCTTGGGATACAAAATTGAAGGGAATAAGGTATTTTTACTTGTTTAAGCTACAAACGTGATAGATGAGGATGACTTCATTGTTATCAAGGTATTTTTTCTTGTTTAAGTTACAAACGTGATAGATGAGGATGACTTTACTGTTATCTCTTTCTTATATTTTTTGGTTGCAGGCTGGACAACTTTAATTCAAGGTGTTCAATGTCGAATGCTGATGTCTTAAATCACATTATACCTGATGAAGAAGTTGAGGAAGACATTTCAGCTGCGGCTTCTTCAGATTGTTCAGTCTCGATTGTTCACCTCAAATCTGATATTCTTGAGAGTGAAGCATTGAACTTACTGGGGGAGGGGACTTATGTAGACACTCTTTTGACGACATTGCCAGTATGTGCAATTGTGGTGCATAATCTTTTTTCCTTGACAAATCTAATATCTTCTTTCTTTCTCTCATGTTGGTTGTTCAATTTGCAGGTCTTATCAGAGGAAGAGCAGAATGCCATTGCTGCCACTCCGGCCCATCCGGCTGGCTTGTATGGTGAGAGCACTCTCCTTCGTCTAAAACACCGCGGGGATCTAGTCTTATATATGATGATAATGTGGATGTTGAACTTCTCAAAAAACAAAATTTCAAGAAACTAATAAACAACACAATAAACAAAACTGCTAATTGTGTTATGGGAGTGCAAATTAGAGATCATGAAATATACATAATTGACCCTGGGGGGGTTGTATAGGTCTTTTGTACTCTAATGCGGAAATTATCCCCAAATAAAACCTATTTCTCTCAATTGTAATTTGATCCATCAATTAGTGCAATTAACACTTCAATGACTTTAACCCAATGGTTTAATTAGTGAATTCACGTAAAATCCCAAATTAATTTTTCATACAAGAATAATCCGCCAACCTTATCCCTCTAATCCATTCAACCAATTCAATCAAATTAGTTTAAGCAAATAAAATAGACAACAACACAAGTCGGATTTGAAAACATAAATCAACTAGTGCATAGAAAAGAGTTCACAAGTACAAAGAATAGAAGAAGGGAAAAACCATAAGCGACACTCTAATATTCCATAATAATGAAAAGTGACTACAAGAGACAATATCAAGAAAAGGAAATACCTAGATCGGCAAGCAACCATCTCAACCAAACTATCTTTGATGTAGAAGTAGCCATAGCACTATATTCAGCCTCAGCAGTAAAATGAGCGATAACGATCTGCTTCTTACTTCTCTAGAAAATAAGAGAATCACTCAAAAAGACACAGAAACTAGTGATAGATTTACGATACATGACATCACTTGCCTAATCAGCATCAGAAAAATCATGAGGCTCTATAGTAAAAGTAGAAAAAAACAACAAACTTTGATGTAAAATGCCTCTAAGATAGCATAAAATGCGAAGAACTCAGCCCAGTGCACTGTGGTTGGACAGGAGATAAATTGACTTACAACATGAACAACATATGCTATATCACGCAGTGTAACTGTGAGATAGACAAGACTGCTGAGAAGAACCCAATACAAGGTAGGATTAGCCAAAGGGACCCCATCAGTAGAAGTGTAGTGCACATTAAGCTCGAAAAGAGTCTCAATAGTCTAAGAATTTATTAAATGGGCCCTGTGGATAACATCAACTACATATTTTGACTAAGAAAAAAGATAATCCCCAAAGGGTTATCGAAGGGGATAAAGCCACTTCAATGCCCAAAAAAAAAAAAATTGAAGGGGACCAAGATCCGTCATCTCAAATTGTTGTTGTAACTGAGCCTTCAATATTGAAATGCCCCCAATAATAATCATATCATCACACATAAGAGGAGAACAATCTAACCAGCGGAAGTAGAACGAAGGAAAAGAGCAGGATCATAATCATTTGAACGAAAACTCAAGTCAAAGATTACAGTGGAGAACTTCTCAAATCCCGTTCGAGGAGCTTGTTTAAGGTCATACAAAGTTTTCTAAGTTTACATACCTCTCTTGAAATGTGTGGGAGACCAAGAGGAGGAACCATATAAACCTCTTAGAGTAAGGCTATGGGAAGAATTAGCAAATCTAATTGGTGTTTGTAGTCCATGATAGTGTATTGGGGGCGATTTTAATGTCATTAGATACTTGGTGAAAAAGTGAAATGGGGCAGAATAACAAAGTGTATGAAGGATTTTGATAGTTTCATTAGAGAGATGGAACTTATAGATTCATTCATGGCTAATGGTATGTTCACTTGGTCCAATTTTAGAAGTGTTTGGTTTGTAAAAGATTGGATTGGTGTTTGTTTTCAGTTGGGTGGGAGGATTGTTTTCTAAGGGTAAGACAACAGGTTTTGTCTAAAGTTGCTTGAGATCGTTGTCTCATTATTGTTGATGATTCTAAGCTGTAGTGGCGGCCTTGTCCGTTTAGATTTGAGAACATTTGGGTGGAGTATAGAGGTTTTAAGGGAAAAATTAGAGAATAGTGGTCAGAGGGTGATGTCCAAGGATGGGAGGGTTATAAATTTATGAAAAAATTGAAATTTGTAAAACAAAAGTTAAGAGTGGAATAAAGAGGAGTTTGAGGATGTTAGAGAGACAAAAGATTATTTTGAATTTGATTGATTAGATTGATAAAAGAGAAGGAGGTGATGTGGATGCAGATTTGAGAAAAGAGAGGAGGGAGCTTAGGAATAAACTTGAGGATGTGGTTTTTAAAAATGAAATAAGTAAAGAGAGGAGGGAACTCTTGTTGCTAATGAGGTAGTTGAGGATTATAGAGTGAGAAGAAAGGAGGTAATAGTATGGAAATTTGATTTTAAGAAAGCTTATGGCCATGTGGAGTGGAGTTTTTGGATTTTGTCATGGATGCTAAAGGTTTTAGGGATAGGTGGAGACAATGGATTAAAGGATGCTTAGGGCCAATGAATTTTTCTATTAGTTGTAATAGTAAACTTAGGGGAAGGTGTAGGGGTCTTAAAGACAAGGGGATCCCTCATCTCTTTTTTTGTTTACTTTGGTAGTTGATGGGTTGAGTGGATTAATGGAATAGACATAAAAGGTGTAACTTGGTGGAGGGTTTGTAATTGGTAAGGAAAGAATCTATGCGTCTCATTTGCAATTCACTGGTGCCAATTTTTTTTTCTCAGTGGGTAAAGAGAAATTTAGGAATTGTAAGAAGGTTGTTGATGTGTTTGGTTTGATTTCTAGGCTAAAAATTAATATGAAAAAAAGTCAATTTGTAGGGATTAATACTAGTCAAGGAAAAGTAGGGTGTGTTATGGGCAATGACGGAGCCACTCATAGGCCAGGTTGGCCGATGCCCCTCTGACATTTCCTTGTCTACTAAACATACTCATATGATATTTTCACTCAAGGCCTCTTTTATTTTTTCAATTTTTCCTTTGCCCCTTCCAGTAATATTCTTATGTTTTAACAAGTCAAAAAATACATGAGTTATATGTCAAATTTAAATGGTCATTTGGATTAGTGTTGCTTGTTAAATTTGGGGATTATTTTCAATTATGTATATTATCAAAAATATGATTTTATAGACGATGATTTATTGGTGGGCTCTTTGTTTATGTAAATTAAGAAAAAAATTACTGCAAAATTTTACACATAAATAGATAATTTTTGGGACATGATATGACACAGTGTTATTTAAAGCGTAAAGCAAACTGAAGCGATCAAGGCTCCTAACGCCTAGGCGAGAAGCAAAGCGAACAGTTAAAAAAAAAATTAAATATTTTAGTTTAATTGCTTATACACATCTAAGTTCTAATTTTATACATACTAAATATTTAAATGCAAGTAAAATCATAAACATTTAAATTAAAACAAACACTAATAATATCTTAAATCTTAATAACAGTCAACAACTTAAACATTTAAATTCAAACAAACACTAATAATATCCTAAATTATAATATTTAAAAACATAAAACACATAATTCAAGCAACTAAAGAACAACAAAACAACACAAAAACAGCAAAAACATCAAAACAGCAAAACAGAAGCATGACAACAATCAGAAAAAAAAAGGAACAAAATTAGAATCAGAAGCATAATCAGAATCAGAAACAGGAGCACAAAAAAAAGGAGCAGAATCAGAATCAAGAAAAAAAAAAGAGCAGAATCTGTCAGCGAGGAAAAAGATCTAGAACCAGAAAAGAGAAGAAAGAAAGAGAAATAGAAGAGAGAAGAAAAAAAGTAGGTTAACATGTGCAGCGAGGAAGGAGCAACGACTCTATCGATTGTGTAGGTGTAGCGACTCATTCTGTCGATCGTGTTTGTCGATTGAGTCTAGCGATCGTGTAGGAGCCCAACGAGCAGCAAAGGAGTCTGATTAAAATTGGGTTTAGGGTTGTATTTATGGGATAAGGGGATAATTCGGTGTATCAACATCTTATAATTTTTTTTTCAATTGTCCAATTCAACGATCCAAATTAAAAATTAAACTTTGCCTCAAATGACTCAAGCGTTCGCTTTTTCGCTTTTCTCGTTTTTTTCTCGCTTCACTCACGTTCGCTTCACCTGGGGTCTTCCATGCAAGATCCCTTCGCTTCACTTCGCCTCGCTTCTCGCCGAGGCGAGCGCTTAGGCGCGTTTTTTAAAACACTGATATGACATCAAGCATTATTTGGATAGTTGATTGAGTTGAATGATCAATGCACTATGAAATGAATATTGTGTCCTTTTCTTTGTTCCATGTTTTAGTAAGGCTAAATAATGTTAGATATATTTTCTTCTAGTATTTTAGTTTTGGTTATTGATGTATTTCTTATGTTTGTGTATAAAAATATGTCCAAACCTTTAATTGTTTATATGAATCAGTGAAATTTTGTTATTCATATTTTTCTTATGTTTGTGTTTAAAAATATGTCAAAACCTTTAATAGTTTATATTAATTAGTGAAATTTTGTTATTCATATTTGTGTCCACCCTAAAATGAAATGCTGGCTCCGCCACTAATTGTGGGTGGGTGGCCGTTGAAGTATTTAGGTTTTCCATTAGGTGGTAATCCAATGTCTAAATCTTTTTGAGATCCAGTGATTGAAGGAATTGAAAAAAGATTAGATGGATGGAAGTAGACTAATTGGGATGACAATAATGCTAACTAGACAAATGAAAAAGATGAGGAAAAAGACTCGACAAGGAATGCTTTCCCCTTCATATATCTTCTCAAAATCGAACTTTGGATCCATTTTCCACAATAAACTTGACGCATTAAGAAAAACTAGGCAATCCCTGAGAAATGAATTTCTAAGGACTCTGGAAAGTACCTCTTTCAAACCCGTTGGCATCCCACCTGTTAGCTTGTAACCCATATTTGCTTCTAATAACTACATGCCACAGTGAATCTTGCTCTAAAGGAAACCTCTATAGCCATTTCCCAACAAGAGCCATATTCATTTTCAACAAATTCCCCACCAATAAGCCACCCTTAATCTTAAGCCTAGACACAACCTCCCAACTAATTAAATGATCCTTCTTCCTTTCCGCGCATTCTTCCCATAAAAAATCTCTCATTACGTCTTCAATCCTCCTAACCACCATACAAGCCATCTTAAAGAAGACAAGAAATAAATATGGATTGTGACTTTATTGGTACTATTGATAGCATTATCATCTTCCCAATTAAGATTAAATGGATTGCGTAAGAATCTTAATGATAGAGTGTTCAAAGTTGTTAATACTTCTTTATATGTTCAATGGTGTTGCATTGATCTCAAATTCTTCAGATAAAAGATTTTGGAATTGTGATTCTTCGGGTATTTTCTGTTGCATGTCTTATTTTGAGTCCTTAGTTGATTTCTCTTTTCCATTATTTCTTCTGTCGTTGAAAATTTGGAAGGCTAAAGTGCCTTGAAGGGTGCAAATTTTTACATGGATAATTGCTTACGACAAGATTAATACTAATGATGTGCTTCAAAAGAGGAGACCAATGAGTTGTCTTTCACCGTAGTGGTGTGTGGTGTGTGGTGTGTGATGTGTGAAGGTGATTGTGAGAGTGTGGATCATTTATTTTTATATTGCCTCTTGGCTCTTTCGCTTTGGAATGGAAAGGAATACAAGAATTTCTGATGATAAAGAGGAGGTTCAATCTCTATGGGCTCGTACGCATTTTTTGGCTTCTTTTTGGGTTTCTGTTACTAAGGAGTTTGAGAGCATTCCTCTTTTTTGCATTATTTCAGATTGGATACAGACTATTGGTCTGTAATTTTCGAAAAAAAATAAATTGATGAAGACAAGTCTTGCAATTATACAATGAGATTGAGTGACTTGTACTTGAGTCTACAAGTTAGGATTATAGGATTATGATTCGTTTTTTGTTAAGGTTTATTGACTTTTAATCTTTGTAATTTTTTACTCTTGTATGTTTTGTCATGAAATTGTCAAAAGGAGAGATTGTTAAGAAATTATTTGTAATTAACAAATTTCGTAAAGTCACTTTGTGCTTATATCTCGACTAATTCCATAGTCAAGATGCTTGTGAAAATTGAAGACCAAAGCAAGATGTGATGAAAAAGCTCAAGGCACATTGCAACACGTGCCAAGATTTCTTGGATTTTGTCAAGCTTAGGTGAGATAAGGGACTTAGATACTTAGTTGCCTTAGAATAGTTAAAATTAGGTGAATATGACTGATTTAGATATTTTAGAGTTTATGATCCATAGCATGACTCTCGTACAATTATGAAAAATGACTTTAAAAAATTTAGGGTTGGTTTTGAAACGAGTATAAGAGTCATGGTATGGAGGCTTTTTTGTTATCATCCACCATGATACTTAAAAAGTTGATGGTTGGTTTTGGTTGAAAGCCCAGTGGTAGTGGTCTAGCGGTTGTGAAAAATAGATTGGGCCTAAAAAACTGAAATAGTGGTGAACACTTATTGACTGCTCGAGTGGTCCACTATTCACGCTAGGAAGAAAACTATTCCAGTAGCCAGCGTTCAAGTGTTGGTTCACGAATCTTTTTTCATACTCGCCAATTAACTTATATTTTTTCTCTACCTATAAATTGGGGACCCACAAATCAAGGATCTTGTAGAACACTCGAAACCCATAAATCTTTTAGAACACCCGAAGCCAACAAATCTTGAGAGATCTTGTAGAACACCCGAAACCCACAAATCAAGGATCCAAGGAGGTGTCCAAGAACCGGAGGGGGATTTCAAGAGGAGAAGGATGATGCTAAGGGCGAATTGTGGAGCTCAATTCGTCATCTATTAAAGGTAGTCGTCAAAAGCTTGCAATGGATTCCAGAGTGAAGATTCAATCGAGAAAGCGGATAATCATGGTATTGGTTGAGATATAAGACTTTAGGGTATTTAATTTTCATTTGAGACTAGTAGATTAGGTTAGGCAGACTACAGTCCATTGTTTTTTCCCGAGAGATTTTCCACGGAAAAATTGCTTCTGTTGTGTGTTGTGCTTATCTTTTGCATTCTATGCATACTTGCAATTTTACTTTCCTCACATGCATTATCGATTGATATCTTGCAAACCGATTTGTGGTGTTGGCTGTTAGAATTGAACAAATCAATTGAGTTGACGAGTGTGTAGGAATTTAGGGATTTTGCTTTAAGTCTTCAAATTGGTGAATAGGGTTTGTCAATTTTGGGTTTTTTGTGTTAATTGATGAATTAATTAATAATTGGTAGAATTAGGTTTTAATGGGCATAATTTTCGCATCAAGTGCTTGAGACCTATTCAGCCCTCCTCTAGGACAAGTATGGTTGTTTCAGCGTGTCGGGGGTAGTCACATTCACACTCACTCTTAAAATATTAATAGCAATGCTTTTTGCTTGTGTCTTGTTTCCTGAACTAATCATATTTTGTAGTTCTAAGTATTCTTTCTGTGACTAGCTTGCTCTATCAGACAGTGCATTCACATATGGCACCAGCATCCACATCAATTTTTGTTTATGCAGCTTAAATTTACTGACTGGATTACTGAAAAATAAAAAACAAAAAATATAGGAGTTTATCCATGGTGCTTATTTATTTAACTTGGAAAGGTTGCCTGTAACTTATTGCTGGCTTCTTTCTAGCTATGAATACTCCATCTGATCAGTTTTGTGTTGTGTTGATGTGCCATCAAGTTTTTAATATGCTGCCAATATTCTTTCATTTGATCAGAGTCTTACCCAAAGTCATATTTGACAGCCTTATATGCTAGTTGCTTGGCTGGGAATTTGGTGGAACAGCTTTGGAATTTTGCTTGGCCTGCGGCTATTGCATTGCTTCATTCAAGCCTTCTTCCGGTGGCTGTCATGGGTTTCTTCACTAAGGTTTCTATGAGTCGGTTTAGATACAGAAAGCATATATCAATTAGAAGCAGGAGAATATACTTTCTGACGACCTTGAGTTGAACAGATTGCAATAATTGTGGGAGGGCCCTTGGTTGGCAACCTTTTGGATCATTTTCCCCGGGTACCTGCATATAATTATTTGACTATTGTCCAGGTAATTTTTCATTTGAAAATACAGCAGTTAGGATAAATTTTAGAACCAGTTACAGTCAAATGCTGTCTTCTCATACTTGTTTTTCTATCAGGCAGCTGCTCAATTGTTATCTGTTGGAATGATAATTCATGCTCATACTGTTTGTCCCTCCTTGCCATCATTTGTACTTCTCCAGCCTTGGTTTGTTGTACTTGTATTTGCTGGAGCTGTTGAGAGGCTATCTGGATTGGCTCTGGGGGTTGCAATGGAGCGTGATTGGGTTATGCTGGTAGTGCTGATCCATTTTTTTTTTGTACATTAATATATTGCCTGCTGTTTGTTTTCATTTTTCTCAAGTGTTTAGCCATTCTGTAATTTGGGATTTTACAAGTACAGTTGGCTGGAACAAATCGGCCAATCGCTCTGGCACAAGCAAATGCTGTTCTTAGTCGAATTGATCTCGTGTGCGAGGTGATTGCAATATTCTTTCTCTTCTATTGAGAACTGGTTTACTAACTGACATATGCCTGGTCATAGTTTCTTGGTGTTGCCATTGTTGCTTCTCTTTTGGAGCTTGTATTTTAATTCACGTCGTACTCAAGGTTTGACATACAAGCCATACCTAAGTGGTGCTTAAGGATTGTACACTATATTCCAAGAAGTCCCCCTAAATGCAATTAGGTTAAAGCTTCCATAACTCATGATTGGTATTTTTTTGGGGAAAAATGTGAAAGAAGAAACTTATGCCTTGTACAATCGCAGATTGCTGGAGCATCAATGTTTGGCATTCTTTTGTCTAAAAATGAACCAGTGGCATGCTTAAAGCTTGCTGCTGGCTTGATGATAGTGGCCCTACCTGTTGTGGTAATTGTCTTCTGCTTGCTCTATATATGATGCTTTTTCATATTCTCTTTGCATTCTGAGACTATTAACTTATGTCCCAGGTTTCACTCACCTGGTTAACCAACAAGCTTTCTTGTGGGGTTCTTGACCGTGCTAAATCTCCTCAAACGTGTCATAGAAATTCCTCTGGAGAACCTCTTCCTTATGCTGAGAACATAGGTTTAGATTTACATATCATAGTTATAGTTGGAATTTGTATTTTGTATTGTTACATGTATTAATTCCATCTTCGTATTGACCAGTGGAAATGAGTGTGGAAGCTATAAAGCATGGGTGGATTGAATACTTGCAGCAGCCTGTTCTTCCTGCAAGCCTAGCCTATGTGCTACTCTACTTCAATGTAGTTCTTGCTCCTGGAGGTTTGATGACAGCATTTTTAACACAGTGTGGTATTTCCCAAACTTCTAATTCATTCACCTGCTGTTCCCTCAGATAGCTTCATTTTTAACTTGATGTAGAGTCAGAGACACATTTTTAGGCACCTGTCATGACCCCATAGAATCTTGTATCAAGTACATTAACACCTGAATTTAAGGTTAACATACTAATCCACATGGTAATTAAACAATGTTGAATAAGATGGAGAATGTGCTTGAAACTTGTGGAAAAATTGGTCTGGACCTTTTTCAGTGAGAAAGATGATTTGCCCTTAATTCGACTATGGGTCAATTTGCTTCCCCAAAAAACTATGGGTCAGTTGTGCAACTGCAAAGTTGCTGGTTCAAATTTGAGCATAGGTACTTTGTGCAGGTATTGACTATTGTAAAGTTTGTATACAATTATTTCTCCCAATATTCTTTATTAAATGGAGGCCAAAGTGAGGAATGATCTTTAGTTGCAACCGATATTCTTTGGTCTTGAAAATACGTAGAAATGGGAAAATGTCACTTTGGATTGAATACTAAGTACTATCAAATGTTCATTTAAGTAGATGAATGATTTCCAAACTTGATTGTGGTAATGATGACAAATGTCTATCAACTTCTTTTATGGTTTGATGTGTTAATTCACACATAAATTGAGATTGAAGTATTGCGGCCGCCTAATTAGTGGGGAGGCATTGATGTACGCAGTCAGCCATGAATAGGGGTAAAAGATCATCAGAGATACCTTCCAAAGTGACCAACGGGGAAGTTGCTGTTGTTTCTAGCTTTGCGGCTAACGAATGTTGGAATGAGTTCGCTCGTATAGGAGAGAGTTGCATCTATCAGGTCTCCAAGCAATGATCACTCCACTTTATCAACTCTATTTGAATTCGATCATGACTTCCCGATCATTTGGAACAAATCTATTTTTCTTCCTTTCGTGTTATCTGACTAGTTGTCCCTCACTTTGGCGCTTGGTCTATTGGTTGACCTTTTCAGCCGCCACTGACTTGCCTTTGCTGCCCTCCTTTCTATAGCTTACGCTCATACGTTATTCCGTGTTATACTACACTTAGTTACCATGAGTCCTCGGAAATTCTCGCTTTCTCGGGGATCTTGCTACTTGCCTTCTAGTGTACGTCCGAAGCCATGCTGGGTCTAGCTGACCGACCTTCTATCTAAAGCGTGTCTGTCGTCGTGGCCTTCGGATGATCTCTTTGCTGGCTAGTTTGATCTCATGTCTACCCAGTGCCTAACCCTATTCTCTAGGTCACCGACATTGCATGTGGAATCTCCGCTCCAAAAAGGGGAGTCTCTCTTTTTCTTCATTTTCCTCTTCCTATGGAACTCTCTCTTGAAACATTTCTAGAAACTCGAGTCTTATTTCCTCTTCTTCTTTTCTTGTGTCAATACTGTGTTTTGGCTTATTGGAAAATTTACTCCGCAAACATGGACTACTTGTTGAGTACTTGAGTAGTAAACATAAACCACTTGTAAGCTGTGGGGAAAGAGTTGTCAGTATGTTCTAAAGTGAGTACTTCCCCCACTGCTTCCCCTCGGGAAAAAGAAATCTAAGGCTGCCTATCTCCAAAGATCTTTTGGAATTTTCTTCAAATTTGAATGCCCATTTTAGCCTTTATGAAATCTAACTGGGACTGTTTCAGGTGTAAGTCCATCGCTCATTGGAGGCTTTAGTGGATTATGTTTTTTTTTATGGGTGTGCATAGACTACTTGTTGAGCAGTAAACATAGACCACTTGTAAGTTGAGGGGAAAGAGTTGTCAGTATGTTCTAAAGCCAGTACTTCCCCCAGTGCTGCCCCTTGGGGAAAAAATCTCTAAGGCTGCCAACTTTGAAGATCTTTAGGAATTTTTTTCAAGTTTGGATGCCCACTTTAGCCTTTTCGAAATCTAATTGGGATTTTCAGGTTTGAATCCATCCATCATTGGAGGCTTTAGTGGATTATGTGCTTTTATGGGGGTTGCAGCTACATTTATGTCTGCAGACTTGGTCAAGCGATTTGGCATTTTAAAGGTTCCTTCCTCTGTAATTCTGTTATTTGTTTTCTGGCATATTTTTGTTTATACTCTGGTCTAAGTCTCATGAATATCCCATAACAGACTGGAGCAGCTGGACTGATACTACAGGCTTCATTTCTTACCATTGCTGTTGCTGTGTATTGGAGTGGATCTCTTTCTCAGCAGATCCCACTTCTATTTTTCTTGTCTTTGATTGTGCGTTCATTTGTATCATAATAAATGCAGTCTTGTTTCTATTTTATGATCATTGTGAAAAAGTTGATCTATTTCCTGTTTGCCAGGTATTTTCAAGGTTGGGACACATGTCGTATGATGTTGTTGGGGCACAGATCCTTCAAACTGGGATCCCATCATCCAAAGCAAATCTAATTGGGACCACGGAGATTTCTGTTGCAAGTTTGGCAGAGTCTGTAATGTTGGGAGTTGCAATCATTGCAAATGATGTTTCCCATTTCAGGTTTCTAGCGGTGCTGTCACTGTTATCAGTGGTTGGGGCAGCGTGGTTGTTCTGCCAGTGGTTGTTGAATCCTACGGATGCACAAAGAAGCCTTTTTTCTTTTGACCTGCAATTTTGATTCCATACGTAAGTATTCATATGTCGATTAGCTTGGAAACAATAATTTTCTGCGTTGCATCTGTTCTTCTGTTTGTTTAAAATTACTATTTCGGACCAGCCTTTTTTTTTTTTCTAATATAATTCTTTTCAAATTGACAAACTGCTAACCTGTTTTCCACATTTAGCATTAGTACATGAACCTCAATTTTCAGCCAAGCATTGGAGTTCCTGAATAGTTTTAATGATTTAGCTGCTTGAAAACGTCTAGGGTGTTAGCCAGCTAGGGGTGTCATCTGTGTTTGTTGTGCATCAACAGAATTGTTCTTGTCTGGAAGTATTATGCAAGAGAACTCAATATTGTTGTGCTTGAACTTGAACTTCATTATACTTGCAACTATTCAGCTACTTCTGAGAATTACGTATCGTATATTGGGATGGCTTTGAAAATGCAGATGGTTACAGTTCGAAAGCTTATAACATTTAAAATTCTTAAATCTCTAGTTCAAATTCACAAAATAGCTTTTTCCCCACTCTGCATGTTAGTACTATATATATAGGCCTTATTATTCCTTTTTTAATAAAATACCATTTATTGCTCTGTAATAGATCCATATGTCCATCGCTTTTCCAGTTCATAGTCTGCCTTGGTTTAATGAGTATCTTATACGAGTATATTTTCTTCTCATGTGGACAACAGTAGCACAGGTGCTAATGCTACTATATGTTGGCTGAAGCCAGAATACATATCAACCTCTTTCGACTGGAATGATAATTTAAATGCAGGCCAAGGTATATTTTTCTCAATTTACTTGGTTTCTTACTGTGCGGGGGATGGCTTACCACAGATCCAGTTTGGTCTGTAGAATGAGAAGCTAGAAAGCATGCAACCCCATCTTCCATGTTCGCCATTAGAGCAGAAATTTAAGTACAGTTTCTGCTGATGATGGCTTGAGTTGTATCTACGTTTGAAGTTGGTAAAGCATGGATTCATTTAGAATTGTTTATCCTAACAGTGAGACTGTAATTGCAAATTCCTTTGCTTTCTCTCTCTGCAATTGATTTGTCAACTGATTTGTTTTGAGTTCACAGTGGACATGATTAGAAGTGAAAATTTCGAATAAATATTCTCTATTTGTTGGGTGTTTGGTTGGCTTAAGGGCGGGGAGTGGTTGTAGAACTCTCCAGAACCCTCAGTCTCAAAAGTCATTGTAACTCTGCAACTTCATTGCATTCGTTGTACTTGAACATGGCTGTTGATCAAATGAAAAAGTAATGCTTCGATGGCTCCAACTTTCACCTTTCATAGTCTCTTTAAAATCTAGAGGGGCCTTCCACACCCAGTCTGAAGACATTTTTCTCCTAGTGTATTTGGTAGGATAGACGAAAAAATAATGTGTGATAAGTTTCATTCCTTCTTTTGTGTTTTGTTAGAGTGATGGAAAGTAGAAATTATTGAATTTTTATGTTTGGGATTGCATGGAAAAGTGGGACAGAAAAAAGTGTGAAGGTAAATAATTTACATTTCGACACAAAACACAACTAGGTATTTTGTCACTCTTTTACCCAATTTTGAATGGATGGAATTTTTTGAGTTGGAAGAAAAGTTAATCAATTTATTTTTTTTTCTTTCATTTTTTTTCTTAATCAAATATAATATTTTATTTATTTTTTCACTATTTTATTCTTTTTACTCTTTTGTCATACCAAACGTATCATTAAATAACTTTTGTACTTTGTACATAAGATAGACCTTCGTTTGCCCTCTACTCCTCCACTCTATTGTGATTGGAACTTTTGACCCAACCTAAGTGGTTGTAAAAAAATATTCACAAAAGACGGTGAGTTTGAAAGTATTTCTCAAATTCAGATAATTTTAACAATGTTATTTGGTTTGATGTTGTTAGGCCAAAAGACGTCAGTTGATATGACGTTTTAGACTAAAAACGGCGCATTAATTGACGTTTTTTACCAAAATTGTAAATAATTCAACCATTAAAAAACGTCAGTCCATTTGACATTTTTTAGCTAAACACATCAAATGGACTCACGTCAAAGATTGAGTCCCTCTCTTGCATGTTCTATTCCACCCCTCTCCTCCTTACTTTCTTACCTTTTATTTTATTGACTCTATTTTTTAGGTTTTTTTTTTTAGCGTAAACACAATAGATTTTTTATTAGTCAATTAATTGGATCCACCACAATAGATTTTTTATTAGTCAAGTAATTGGATCCATCACAACTCGATCATGGCTAGAGAAAGATTCAATAACATGGATGCCCTTTCAATTTTAATTTTTTTTTAGATGAGCCTACATTTGAAAATTTTAATATATATAATTTTATGTCTCATTGTTACAAACTTCTTAATATTTATATAATTAACTATACTAAATGTTACAATTCAAACTCTTATAATATTTATATAATCAACTATACTAAATGTTACAAATTTCTTAATATTTTCACCATAGTATTGTTGTTTTGGTCAGTAGCATTACTGTTTTTAATTTTGTGTATTGGTATATGAGAGTTTGAATTGTAACATTTAGTATAGTTGATTATATAAATATTAAGAAGTTTGTAACAATGAGACATAAAATTGTATATATTAAAATTTTCAAATGTAAGCTCGTCTCAAAAAAAATTTAAAATTGAAAGGGCCTCCATGTTATTGAATCTTTCTCTAGCCATGATCGAGTTGCGTTGGATCCAATTAATTGACTAATAAAAAATCTATTGTGTAAACACTCAAAAAAAGAGAGTCAATAAAATGAAAGGTAAGCAAGCAAAGAGGAGAGGCTGGAATAGAACAGGCAAGGGAGGGGCTCTCGATCTTCGGCGTCAATCCATTTGACGTGGTTAGCTAAAAAAGGTCAAATGGACTGACGTTTTTAGGTGATTGAATTGTGTACAATTTTAGTAGAAAACGTCAATTAGTCTGACATTTTTAGGCTAAAAACGTCAGACCAACAGACATCTTTTGGCCTAAAAATATCAGACTAAATGATGTTTTTAAAAGTGCCTAAATTTGAGAAATACTTTCAAACTCACCATTTTTTGTGAATATTTTTTTACAACTACTTGAGTTGGGTCAAAAGCTCATTGTGACCGCAAGAGTGCAGTCTAAATACAGTAGCATGAGCTAGCAAGATGGGGATTTGCCCTGACGTACACGGGCTTCCTTCCTGATCACCGGCTTCCAAACTTAGTGAGTGAAGCAGTGCTCAGGGAGACACCCACTATATTGGAATTAGCTGGTTTAATTTCTTCTCTTGTTCCTTTACTATGTACTTGACCTTTTCCCAAAAAAAGAAAAAGAAAAAGAAAAAAGAAGTGTGCAGTCTAAATAGTACATAGTGATATCTTTCATGAGTGCGGTAAATACACCGAGATAAATTGTTGTTTTGCTTGTCTTTGGGTGTGTGAAGAAGCCATATATCTTTCTCGAATCCTTGCCATGCCAATATGTCAGTATTCGAACTTTGTATGCTTCTTTCAGGACATCTTTAGTTTTATAAGGTTGTTAATTTATAGTAAGGTATTTTGTTATATTAATGTGTGATAAATGAGTACTTACAACTTTTCCTAACTATTTTGAATAAAAAAGTGGTGCTCAGAATAATATGTATAAACTAGCAGTCATGAACACACGGGTCGGTACCGATATGTAGAGAAAGATATGTGAAAATGACAAGAGATTGAAATAAATAAATTGATATAATCAAATATGATTAAATACGAAATCTAGGCGATTAATTATGGTTAAAGAAAAAATTATTAGTCGTGTTAAGTGGTCATTTAGAAAGAAACAAAGGGTAATGATCATGTTATATAAGGAGAAAATTAATTATGGCGAAGGGCAAAATTGTGAGTGGTTATTATAGACAATCTATGGGTACAAATTATAGTCATTTTCTACGTGGACACCAAAATTCACCTCTTCCTTAAATAATAGCAGTCACCAAAACTACTATAACCCACTACCATTGCTACTGCAATTGTCACTATCATTACAATTGCCACCTCTCACCACCGCCACCCATAGCCATAGTCATCGCCATCGCCATTGCCACCAACAATCACCATCCTTGTTGTCACTATCGTTTGTCACTATCATAACTATTATTGTAACGTGTGTGGAAATATATTAGTAATTTTAACAAATTTTTTTTATTGATTATCCAAATATACTGTTTTGAGTTAAAGTGTTTTCTTTTATTTTTGTGTGTGTGCGCGCGCATCAAAAACAGTGCTAACTATTGTTTATAAAATACTCTCAATAAATATTTGTTTAAATTTTTTAAAAATTTTATAACGAATCACAAACACCACCTTAATACCATGTCAATTTTTATTTGAGTAAATTATATTCACATACCGTAAAGTTTGGTCAAATAACAACTTGACCCCTTCTTGCTAGGGAAATAACACTGCATTACCTTCTACTTTGGTTGTCCACAACAGATTCCCACAGTGTTAGTTTACTGTTAGAGGAAACGTCAGATTTTTTATGATGTAAGCAACACTTTTTTGAATATTCTAATATTACCCTTCTGTACCCACGTGCATTTGCAACACAAAATTTTGACCACACCTCGAGGATCTATTGGGGCCTTTTGGGTAGTGATTGTTGGACAGATAAAAGGGACATTAGAATGGGTGTTCATTGAAATGGGTTGGGGTCTCTGGTAATGGATGTGGCGGGATTGGGTTGAGTGATGAAGAAGCGAATGTGATTGGAAGGGGATTGCTCTTGTGAAGTGTACTCTCTCTCTCTCTCTCATACACACACACATATACAAAAAGACAGAACCCAACAACTACAAATCGGCATAATTTTGGCTCAAAAAAAAAAAAATTGGCATCACTTGTCGAAGAAGATGGGTGGTGCTTATTGGGGATGGTGCTTCTTGTGGTTTTTTGGTGGTTTGGGTATCTCATCTGAGATGGAGGGTATTATGGTCATTTTATATTTGTCATTATCAAAAAGGAATGGAGGTCACTAATAAGGGAGGTCAA